GTGATTTTACAGACATACTAAAGCTGAAGTCATGCGACGTGGAAACTGTTAAATATTTACTCATTCACCTTTGTTTATCTTATACACGTTTTTCTTTAGCGACTAAAACGCTGAATGAGGTTCAAAACGCCAAAACCCTGTTTAGCAGTATTAGCGCAGACTCACCCAAATTTGATATAGATTCAAAGTACGACCAGCTGTCCATACATGAACAACTCGAATTGAGTTTGAACGCTATAATTGAAAATTTAGGTCATACGTTTGAAAATTCAATCGCAATAAAACTGGGTTTTAATCCAGCTAAAAAGAACAAATTCTCCATTTCGGAGCATTTAGAGAATCAAGAAGTGTCTGATAAGTTCGATGTTAACATTCAAGTTGCGCTATTTGAGCTGGTTAATTCCTTGGTATTGCGACGTAATCAAGTGCAATATTGCAATTCAATTCTACGTTCAATCGACTGCGGAGAACCGTACTGTAGACAAATCATGATGGGAGAAGGCAAAACCACTGTTCTTATGCCTTTAGTATCTCAATTATTACTTGAAAAAAACCTTCTCGCTGTCTGCGTGACACCAAAAAACCTGGTCCATTTCACCCAACAAGCTTTGGAGTCTCGTATAGGCTTTGCGTTGGACCGTGGGGTTTTGGTTTTTAAATTCAGCAGGTCGTGCCAAATAACAAAAAGCCTCGTACAGCTGATGAAGGATGCGTTCTCTCGAAACAAACTGCTGGTTACTTCCGATCTTGATGTTAAATCTTTATTTTTGCGGTGTCTTTATGTCTACTTCCGTTTTAACCAGTCAGAATACTTTAAAATAGATAACGACCGAAAAGCCAATTCTAAAATACAACTGGTGCATGTAAAATTGCGCAGTCTGGGCCATGGTTACATCAAAAAGAGTCTAAAAAGTTTGGGCGTTTCTATTGTCGAGATGTTCGAAAATTCAAAGGACAACGATAAAATCATGCAGGTACAGTCCAAAAATACAAAAAAAAAGAGCCTTGGAATGGCCTTAATCAAACGCGCATTTAAAAGCAGCAGCCCAGTTAGTGTTAGCGACCTGCAGAATGAAAAAAATAAAATTGAAAAAAACACGCATACTAAGGAAGATGAGTTGGACGAACTGTTTCTCATAACCGAACTTCTCGAGTTTATGGAAAAAAACGTTGTTTTTGTGCTTGACGAAATCGATCAACTGATTCACCCAATGCGATCCACTCTGCGTTGGCCCATAGGACAGGTCGAGTATATTGGCAATGATATAATAGGAGTGAGCGAGACGGAAAAATGCAAACAGACTCTATCGCTGGAGTCCAACGAAACACAAAAAAATATGCAAGAACGACTTTATTTAGCGTATCACGAATGGTCTATCGCGTGGCACTGCTGCGAATTGTTGTACAGCAACGGTCGACCCGTTTATTGCAACTGTTTGCGCGACTTGCACATGACGGTTGAAAACTCGAAATTTCCAGAGATGTTAAATCAGAAACTTGCTGAGCTGTTGGAAAAAAAGTTGTGTATTCACAATCCGAATCTGGTAATTTTGAAAATATCGACCTATTTTTCTGTCATAAAACCCATTATGGTATCGTGGCTGGCTTGGCTTTTCAAAACACTCGGTCTGTTTCAAAGTTACACGAGCGCTGCAAACGGTGAAGCGCATATTAAAAAGGAGTTCGAAAAAGCCATGTCTGATAAGACAAAAATAGATTCGTTCGCGCGTGAAGTTTGCAACATTCAAGAAGTCAGGGAGTATTCTGTCATTGGAACGCAGATTCGGCTCATTTCGTACGAAATGTACGATTGGGTGAACAGATACATTCCTTTTTTGCTGACAAAGACATACAGAGTGAATTTCGGTTTCCAACATACCAATAAAGTCGCGGAAAAGCTGTTGATGAGTTCCGTAAAAACGGTGGCTTTAACTAGTGCTGATGATTACCTAGCTATGACACGACAATACTTAGCCGTTCCATACCGTACAAAAGATACACCCACAGCGAACAGCGAGTTTGCCAATCAAAAAATTTTGATCGCATACACGATAATTTGCTACTTTTTGAACGGGCTTTCTGAGCAACTGGTAGAGCTAGTTTTTAACGAGTTGAAAGCGTTTTTGAAGTCTGAAAAAACCTTGTACTTGGAAAACTCAAGAGCAAATAAACTGTACTTAAGTTGGGCTCGCAGTGCCAACGCCGTTGTCAGTAATCAAACAGAGTTGTTTTACGACGCAAATAAAAAAATTTCTGACCGGAGCAACGTTGTTTGGAACAAGATTCTACTTCCATTAGAACAAATTGACACTAGCAATCTAATAATCATGTCAGAGCTCATTGAAACGTTTAAGTACAACCATCTTGCAATCAATTTCTTGCTTACTAAAATTTTCTTTCCAGTATTTTTGAAGAAAAGTTCGAATGTGATAGCTGCTTACGGACATCATTTGGCATCGAAACTACTATGTAAAAACAAAATTAGTTTCAGCGGTACGCCCAGTAAACTTTTGCCCATTGAGTTTGACAATTGTTTCTTGGACAGGCGATGCGACTACCATGTCATGCTTACACTATGCGACCCCAAGGTCGCTAGGATTGTCTATATAGACTTGGAAAATCTGAACAAAGATTTATCTCAGTCTCATCTAATTGTGTCTAACGTGTTTATCAACGGATGTGATGTGCTGATTGATACTGGCGCATTAATGATTGACAAAAACAACTTCGAAGCCGCCAACATCATTTTGAGCAACAATGGAATAACCAGTAAATGTCACGAAGTTTTATTCTTCGAAGAACAATCTGACGAAAAAACGCTGCTGGTCAAAAACACCTTGAATGGCAAAATATCAAAATTAATTTATAACGATGGATACTGCGACGAAAACAGGTTTGTTTATTTTGATCAAGCTCACTCATTCGGACAAGATATCAAAATTCACCCCAAAGCTTGCGGTGCTGTAACGATTGGTAAAGACACTATGTTTCGAGATTTGGTACAAGGCTGCTGGAGATTGCGTAACCTTGCGAAAGGACAAACCGTGGTTTTTTTGATTCCTACGTTTTTGAAAAAACAAATATCCGAAGTTGTGAAAGTACTTAAAGCGCATTCCAACGAAATAGATGAAAATCTTTTAGCATTGTTGAATTGGTGCCTCGTTAAATCTTACGTCAATGAAAACTCGTACAAACTGATGAACCAACAACAGAACCTTCGAACTTTGCTACAATATATCCATATTAAGCACGCGCTTGATAACAAGAAATTTCTTAGTAAAAATAAACTCGACAAGAATCTTCAAAAGTTATTTGTAGAAGAAAATGAACAAACTAACGCTGAAGAGTTGTTAACGTATGCTAACAATGAACTTACTAAGCTCGATCAAAACTGTTTCCAGCAGGAGAGACAGTACATACAAGGATTGGTAGATTCTATCGAACAGGCTCAACGCGAAAAATCTACAGCAACGCTTAGCATTAATTCGAAAAGTAGTGCTAAAGATAGTTCCGCCACAAAATCTCTTTTGAGCGAAGTTTTAGAGCCCACAGATAAAAATGTAGATGTATCTACTGACTTGAGTTTAGATCTAAATAATGAGATAGAACTTGAAAACGCAGAAGAAATAGAGTTTCAAGACGAAGTTGAGATCGAGCAAGTAGTAGTAACGGAAAGAGAAACGGTCGTAAAACCACACCAGACTACGTGGATTAAAATAAAGCCCAAACTAAAAAATTATAATTTTTCGAACATAGTCAAAGAAGCTCAATGTTTAGTCGACATATTTGCTGATTCTAAAATGCAAGATTTGCTAAAACCTACTGGTACTTCAAAAAATCAAAATAGTATATTTTACTCACCCATTGTTTCTTTTTCGTTGAATAGCCAAATTAGAACACCGCAACTCAATTATGTTTTGCGCTTGCAGACGCTAAACAGCCAAAACTGTTACAATATCAAAGATGTTAACAATAAGCACGATTTGTTATTACTAGAACTTCTCAAACTTTTGTCAGAACACTCGTTCGTAAATTATAAACTCGTCTTGAATTTGCTTGGGTTTAAAGAAACAGATATCTTGACGAATTTGGTAGAGCTTGAAAGTCTAAGGAGCGAGTACGAAACTGAACCAATGAAAAAAAATGGAATAAGACATCGTTGCCATTTTGAAGATTTGTTTTATATATTGAACAAACCAAGATATGTTAACGACTTGTTTCCAGCATATAAGCTCATAGGTACTTCTAACAGCATTTATGAAATTTTAATTACCAATTATGAAGCAAATAATATTGTCAAATTCCTGCGTTTGTTTGGTCAGAAAAACTTGAGGAAAAAATTCGGAGTAACAATTGGACTGTATCATACATATCGAAAGTACTACTACTGGGGCGTTACGACAATGGAGAAGAATAAGTTGAAAGTGCAAAATATATCGCTCAATCTTGAAAAGAATTTTTCTTTTATTCAGTTAATAAACAGTAAACTCGAGATATCTCCTATTAGTCTCTCTCCGTATGTTGATCTATTTTTGAAAATCTTAAACTATTGCTTATTAAGCAACTCAAATAGTTACAGTAGTAAAAATAAACAAAAGCAAGTTTCCATATTAGACTTATTATCAACTTTGTACTTTAAAGCTCATAGAACCACTGTTGATATTGATAAAGTAGTTAAAAGTAAAATAACTGAATTTTCTTGCTCGCCCTATAATCTTTTACTTGACAAAACCAGCAATGACGAGATATTAGTAAAACGTATTCGCATAATGCTGTGCCAATTAGGAATTTCTTGGAATCTTAATAGTAATGACATGTCTGAATTTTCAAAGCGTTCAAAAGGTTGGTTGCTCTTTTATCTTTTAATTTTAAACACGCATCCCGTGTATGAGCTGCAACATATATTAACAATATTGAACGAGATTCTCATTACAGAAACAGAAGAATAAAAAAGTAATAATGTTTATCACTAACCATTTATCATATTTGACGTAAAGTGGTTATTTCTTTTTTATTGTCTTCTTTTTAACATTTTTCACAACAGCAGCTGACTTATCATTGAGTTGGGCACTTTTTTTATTTGTAGAAGATGTTGGCTTCGAGACGTTTTCAGCTATAGGTTTAAAAAAAAAGTCCAACCGAACTTGAGTAGAATTTTTTTTAGCATTTTTAAATCGGTCAATTAAACTTTTGACACGTTGCTCCGAAAAAGATTTTTTATTCACTAAATAATCGATTAAGCCGTCTTCATTTAGAACTTCATCTTTGAAATTCATGTTGAAAAGTTCTTCTTCTGAGTAAACTTCAGGGTCTGTGAACTGTTTGTATATCTTTGCATATAAATCTAAATCTAAATGGAGTTCTGGCTTTTCCTTGGCAATTTGTTCAATAGATCCGTGAATCAGTATAAGTTTGTAAGCTGTTGCCGGTCCAACATTTGGAGGGTTAGCAATATAATCACATCCACATAACATACAAAACTCAATGAATTGTTTCATGGTCAAATCCAGTTCATCTAATATTTTGTCAATTCTGTATTCAACACCTATTGGATTCGGTATGGAAAAATTTATTGAGCGAACTAATTTTGGAACGCTGTAGCAAAGTGTGTCAGAATCTTCGGAAAAAACAACATCGACCTTTTTTTTTTTGCATAAATTTGCACATTCAGCTTCAGCTTCAGTTTTCGCTTGAATATAAGGGACTCCCATTAAATTCAATAGAGTTTTTATATCTTCAATATGGCTTTTTTGCACTTGAACCGTGCGTTTTACAAACTTTTCAATTTTCTGTTTATCCTCATCTGCTATAGCTTGTTGTAACTCGATATGCGCTTTGTTTTTAAGTTCAGAGCGATTTTTCAACTCGTCGTTTTTAAGTTCGGGCGGTGTGCCGTCAAACACGTAGATTGGTTTCAACCCTAACTCGTATAACTTAACAGTTTTAGAAAGAATTCCTGAAATATGACTGGTCACGTTTCCTTCGTTGTCTGTTAGATTCGCATTTGTTTCGTTTAGTCTAACTGACACAAGCAAAGCATAGAGAAATGTAGCAATATCTATTCCTATTTTCTGGCAATTGAATTGCTTGATGGGCACGTTTTTGACTGAATTAGACGCATTTGTATTTAAAAACTTAGATAAATTTTTAATTCCCATTTGTACTTAGTAAGTTGAATATTTTAATTTTGAGCATCTTATCGCTATAACTCTTCACAAAAATAATACTTACATTATTTTGACTGAACAAAGAATAAAAATAAATTCATTTTTTATCTGCCTTTCAACAATAATGTAAACTATATAACTGTAATTCGTGTTCAAGTTAATTATAAAATTTTTCTTTGATTAGTTATAATGTAGTTGGTCTTAATGGTCCAAAATTCACTATTACAATAAATTTATATCGTTATTAGAAATATTGAAGTATCGATCTGTTGATATACTGGGATTATTCAACGGAGTTTCTGTCAAGACACCTCGTAATTTTGATAGTCTTTTTGTTTTTTGATGCGTTGAACTAATAGAATCACTTGACATTTCATATAAAAACAATTCGGCGCTGTCTTTGAAGTGAACGAATTTTTTACTTAATGAATTTTTATCATAGTTTGAATTAATTTTAATGATGCCTTTGGATGTCGCTTCTGAACTCGGATCAGGAAATTCAGACAAAAAAAATTTGATTGTTGATGAAGCTAGACTTTTCAGCCGTTTTGAATTGTAATGATCAAATGAGAGTAGCTCGTCGAAATCATCGGCTTCTTCGCTAATAAAATTTTTGTCTAAGTCATTATTTGAGCTGAATATTTCAGTATAAAAATGTTTTTCCGAATTATTTTCAATTATGTTTTCCATTTTACCCGAATTATCGGAGTCCAAGATTTTTTTTTCGTAAATGTAAATGTCATTTTTTGGATTGGCAGGCAGATCAAATAGAAGTTTTTCATGTTTCTGAATAGATGGCATTCGTTTATGCAGTGTGACTAAAGTTCAAATTGGCATGGAATATATTTCCTTAAATTAAGAATTACAGATAATTGGAAAAGCTTATAAATACACAAGGTAACACATCGCCAAAACTACGATTAATTATCAATAATAATTAATAATAAAAATGAGAATTTGGTATAAATAAAAACAAACCCTTAAAATAAATATGTAACGTTGCAGAATAAATAAAATTACCATTTAGCCGCAAAGATAAGCTAATTCATGCAGAAAGGAATTTAAAACAAACTTTATTGATTTATTTGTTCTAATTAACATTGTATCATGTCTGGCCATGCGTGGAAAGTGCTGGACGAGACTAAAATAAGGCTAGAAGATGCGTTTGAATTTGTTAGAAAAGCAGGAATTGTTCACTGCAATTTGTGGAAACTTGGCGACTTTTCCAAGGAGTACATTTTTTCGTTGCAGAACGCTTTACAGAGCATTTTAGAAAATAAACGTCACATAAAAATTCTGGAAGGCAGTGAATCGCACAAGAACTACCCTTGTCAATATTTATTTTCTAAAGCAAAACTCAGTGGTTATGTAAAGATAACGCCTCCAATGCTACAAAATGTTTCTGGCTTTGTTTATAGAAGATTGTTGCAGAACGTGAACAACTTGTTTCCTGAATTAAACGGAATATGGGTGATAGCTAGAAAACTCAAACCAGTTGACCACGTGGCTTATTCTTATCAAGCTGATGCGTATTCAACGTTAAGTATTAAGATAAATATTGAAGTGTTGATTTTATCGCCCAATCCATACAATCGCTTGCTATGTAAAGTCATGTCTTTAAATCACTCTGAAATGCTGTGCTCCTTGATGTCCGTATTTAATGTAAAAATCCCATGCAAGTATTTTCCAGAAGATTCTTATATAAAAAAAAACGAAAACAACGTAAACGATTTAGTGTTAGGCGATTCTGGTCAAGTCATTTCAGTTGATCAAGACATCAAAATTCTAACTGTTGGGTAAGTGATACACAATTTTTAGCTAATTTTAGTTTATCAGATAAAGACAACAGTCAGAATCAAGTACATCAAATAATTGGTTCACTTGTAGAATTTGACTAATTAGTTGCAAAACTAAATGATCCGCAATATTATTACCAGCAGTAACAATACAATAGAAATTAAAACGTTTGGAATCAATTTCCAAAAAGTTCTGTAGTTGTTAAACCTAAAAAAATATAAACGCAAATCCACTTACTCAAAAACCTTTTGTTTCGACTCAGACTCTCTCGACAACTTTATTGAATCTAATTGGAGATGTTTTAGTTCGCTAAGTGTTTTGTTTTCTTGTTTGATGTTTTTAGATATATTTCTGCAAGACTCCGACATTCGCTTTGTTAAATTATCGATTTCAAGTATTTCATTATTTTTTCCGCATTTTATTTCCGATTCTTCCAGCATTTCTAAAAGTTTGACGCAAAAATCACTATCAATAATATCTTTATCCTCAAGACTTTTGTCCAAAGATCTGTTTCTCAACGCACTAGAAGTTATTGATTCTGAACATTTTGAAGAATTAAATTTGCTAGTTGATTCGCTAGCAATTTTGGTTTTACTATCTTGGGTTCCTACATCTGCTTCTACATTCGATAATGACGACTTCCTGCAATATTTATTTTTAATTAAAGATGCTCTTTCACACAAATTCTTATATAGTGTTGATATTTCCAGTTGATAAAAAATAGCACTATTGGAGCCTTTCTGTTTATTTATGAGTTGTTCGATCTTGTTTTTTAAGATTAAAATTTTAGCGTCACTGTCGAAACTCGAATCAAACTTTTTTTCTTCTGCTTTTTTTAGTAGTGATTTTATTAATTCCTCATTCATTTAACTATTGAATTTGCTAATTAAAAATATGATAACGAGGTCAAAGTTATATTCACTAACGATTAATCGAAGGTTTGGTATGATCCAAAAAAGCTCAGAGCAAATTTTCTGTTTTTATGATTATAAATAAAAGTAAATAAGCTTAAATTTACTCTTGAAGAATTAGTTCGCAAGAATATTTTTTTTATATAAACTCTTGTCAATGGTTTTTTAATTAAATTAGTTTTAAGCTATGCTTATAATAAATTAATAAACCAATCTTATCAATTTAAACAAATTTCTGTATTTTTATTTTTCATTTTTGTTAGTTTCGATTCAGTTGTGGAGGCAGTGTAATTTTGAGTACACACATGCGTTAGGTGAGATGACAATGGGGTCTCACGGAGAAGGTTGCAATTGCGGCATTGAAGCTATTCGAGCAGGTTCACAGTGGTTGAATAACTGCATCAGCGCGGTTGAAATCCTCAACAAGAAGAATAAACTTGTCACCCCGTCAAAGATTATTCGGGACCACAGTTTAAGATTTGAAGCATTTGAAGCCGTTGCAGACACAGATTTTTCCGGCAACTATTTGCTCGAGGTGAAAGTTCAGTTTTCTCAAACAATTAATCTCACAGGCGTGTTTGTCAAAGCGAAAAACTGGCCATCAGAAATGCTCCTGTTTAGAAACAACAATCAAGTCTCTTGTATGTACATGGAACCAAATACGGCGACCCAGCAATTAAGTGTGGTTGAAGATGCGTGTGGAAACACTTTCCATTCCGTTTTCGCCTACAAGTTTAGAAACGTCACGCTGCTATCAATATTTTTCTTAAGCAAACAAGAATTTAATATTGAATACATAGGTCTACAGGGAACAGTCATCAAGAGTTCTAACAAAGTCGTTGACGCTGTATATGAAGCAAAACCGAATTTATCCGATCACAAACTTTCTAAAGAAACTTTTAGTTCATCTCAACTGTTAATGTAGTTCATTCGAAAAATATAATTTCACTTCCGTTGTAAATCGTGTAACTATTTTTTAAACTTTTAGCATCGCTGACTTCTGAAAAGAACTCTACTGAACAGGTTTGCGTTTTTTCAATCGATCCCGTAGAAAAGTTGAAACTTATAACGAACTTTTCTTCACTGATTAACATCAACATATTATCTTCAAAGCATAACACCGTTGCTAGTAGGTTGCCGTTGAATATAATTCCAATCTTTTCAAATCTGCCAAAGTTGGAGTTGTAATTCAACGCAACAACTATGTTGTCTAGCTTTAATAGCAAATAATTTTTCACCTGCAAAATGTTATGTTGATTATAACAGTTTAAAGTAAGCAAGTTTGCGATTTCTTCATCTGAAGATAAAAGTGAATCCACGTCACATCTTATGTCTCTGACATAACGGGTGTCTAGGTTGTATTTCCAGCGTTCCAATAATTCTTTCATATCAAATAGAATTATTTCTCCCGATGATATTCCTAAAAATAACGTTGAATCGTACAAGTTGATCGACGTGACTAAGCATGATCTTTTGTTTAAAATAACGTCTGGTTCAAATTTGGGATATAGTGTAGGCGAAAACGAGTCTGACAGCTCTACAAAAATGATGGAGTCTTTGTTTACATAAGCTACTATCATCAACTTGCCGTTAAATTCCGACACGCACATATACACAACACTTATGTTAATGCAAGTTATAAGTTTCCACTGTTTATCTAAATAACACAATATTTCGCCTTTTTCAGTAGCCACCACTAGTGTGCCTTTGATATAAGCTACACACGTAATAGCTTTGTATTTAAATACACTATAAGGAATTGCTCGTACTTCTTTTTTTCGTAAATTAATGTGATACACGAGATCGTCCACAGTTACACATATATCTGAAAAGATTTATGATTCTGGATTTCGTAAACGTACAATCGTCTTTTGAATCTAAACCTTGATCATAGATTTTCACTTTCGTTCTTTTTAGATAAGGAAAATTACTCAATGACCAAGTTTTGAAAGTCATTCGAAATACTGAGGTACAACAAGATATGTAATGTAAATAAATCAAAAATTTTAATTGCGTGGACTTTCAAAATTATTTATTTAGATAATCTTTAACTCTTTTAATCGAGTTGGGTTCAGATTTAGAAGAAACTTTAGCGTTTAACTTGCTGGCTGAGTTTTTCGCGGAGCCGGGAGCATACATTTCAACGTTTTTTTCTAACTCTGGACTGTTAGAAATAGTTGTTATATAGGTCTGTTCAGCGGCTTGCTCTATGACTTCCTGGTCGTTTATTGCCGTAAAATTTTCTGCGTCATAATTAAGATCAGACGAAAGGTTTTTCTGTTC